ATATTGAACAAAGCCTACCGATACTGAGCAGATATATCCAGTATTAGGCTCAGGCTAATTGCTGAAAAGGCTAAAAACAAATACACAACTTCGACTCCAATAATGATAGATCTGAAAGTGGTGTGGAATGTATAGAACGATGTGAAATCCCAAGTCGTTCACTATTGGGATCCGGAATCCATGATTCCCTTTTCTCAGTTTCGATAAAATCTTACAGATCCAAGAAAAAAATACATTCACATTTCTACATTTTGTAAACATGCATTTATTTTATTTACAGTTTTATTAAAGGAAGTGTTAAATAAAATAAAATTTCACATTACAGAAAGTTTATTAATGGAGTAGACCATTACATATGATACAGCATGTACATCACAGAACTGATAAATGGTGATAAGTTTTAGCGCCGGGCTGGACTCTCTGGAGGAGGGATATTATAATGTAAAGGATTCAAGAAAGTCTTGGGAAACATGGTACTGTGAAGCTGGGTACTCGAAAACTGATAGGAGAAATCGCTCTTTAAGGATACGAAGAAACGAAAATTTAACGTCTATATGCACAAATCCTCTAGTGAGCAAAGTTAAAATGTGTGAGACAGCGTAGAGAAAGGGATGAAAAAAAAAATCCTACCTCCGGTCGATAGTTATTTTAAAAGATTGTACACAGCACTCTGGTGGGTGCTGCAACCAGCCGGCGCCAGCCCACACGGTTTATGGTTGGCCCAGCCCCACCCTCCTCCTGGGCTGCCACCCTTTCTCCTCCAATCACTCCCCTCGCGCATCACTAACAAGCAGTAGTGGCAAGGCACTGTCTCTTGATCTTGTATGGTACTCTCACTAAAGATTAGAACCGTGGTTAAAATGTTTGTAGTGACGTTTTGTTGGAGATTGAAATGGTTCAGCACAGTGGTCAAGTCAATTATTGGAGTTTACATTGCGAGTGTGAAGATTATGGGCACTGGTGCAAGGGGATTAGTTGTCTACAGCTTGTAGGATTCACGAGTTTTCAGGCCATTCACTTCCTGTATCTGTTACAGGGATAGTGAACAAACCTAGAGCAACAGGTGTTATGGTGGCAAGAGAGAAAGGGTAACGAGGCCAAGCCATACCTCCACCTGGCCAGTAACAGTAACAACGCTAGAAACAATGCTGGCAGAGGATAGCTAACTGGAGCGGTTGGCCGTCGGACTGTTCACCTTTCAACATTGGGTAGAAAAACCTTGGATGTTCAAATGGAATGCATCACTCCATTTTATACATATTGTATAAGATACATTTTTACATATAATACAGTTGAAAACGTCCTACGTACACGCTAGTGTGGCCTGGATGACAAAAGTCTGGCGTTATGGCTCAAAGGACTGTAACTCTTTCGAAGGCAGCAGTATGTGGCAGCGTTATGTAATAAAACTGCTCGAAAACTATTCGAATAATTTTACACATAGTGGGGTATGCAATTAGGTACAAAGAGTAGTGACTAAGACCATATCACCTCCACCACCATACATACATACATACATGGGCTGTAGTAAAGGAGACAACTTAGAGTACCACCACATCCCTACTGCTTCAGGGCGACAGGCCCTGTGGCCAATTAGCACACCTCTAGGCTAACTACACTAATACAAACAATACAAAAATTACACAAAACGATTTTAATAACTGCTAATATCAACAGACATGGTGCAAACACTTCAGCATTTAAAGTGTCCAAAGTGAAGTTTGAACAAGAATACATAGTTTGAATGAATATATGAACACAATAAAAACTTCGAGAGAGAGAAGCTGGTGCCAAAAATTGGGTCAAAAGACCATGTCCGTCTACATCTAAAGCAAACAAAGGTTACAAATATGAAAATGTACATAGATGTACAGTTTATGACAACTGGGTCCCCTAATTAACCATAAATTCTTGATCAATTGCTTGTTGATTTGACAGTCAATTTTAAGAAAGTCAATTACAGAACCAAGGAGTCAAGGTCGGGGGAGAGAGCATTTCCATGGAGAAGTGTGAAAATGTTTTTTCTTAAGTTCTGAATTAGATCAAAGGCATATTAAAATGCAAATGTCAATTATTGAAGACCCAAACCAAGATGGCAGACCACAAGCAAGGCAAAAATCACCAAAATTGTCACACTTCACATCTTCCCCGCAGGAACTGTGAGATCAAGACAGTAAATATTACACCAACTACTGTTAGCTTAGGACATATACAAAATACAGTTTACAAGAAAATTACATCTACATATGCAATATACAACTAGTGCTCAACAGGCAGGTACAGGCCAAGCTAAGATCTTGCTTCATAATCAATATGTACAATTTACTATACAGCAGTAACACAGCTCAGGAGTATATCACCATGTGCTCTGTACAATATGGCGTTTACAAAAGGTACATGTTCCAAATGTACACATCAGCATTTTCTGTACACTAATTTATTACAAAATGTTTACATTACATGCCGCAACATTGGCCTCCTCAAAAAAAATTCAATAATATTCACAGAATTTACAATTTGACAATGTTAGGTCTTTTGGCAAGGGCAGGAGCTCTACAGTATAAACACATGGGCCTGTTCCAGCCTGCATGAGCTGAAGTACAGGGATACAAAGATACAAGATTAACAGATATTAAGACTGCTTATTACATCCCAGAACCAGCAAAACCAAGATCAAATGTGTGAAGTGGTTAGCCTTAATATGCATGCTGGTCTGAAAGAGTTTGAGCAGCATGGTGGTTTTAGCCCAAAAGGTGGGCTAAGGTACAGTGGCCCAAGGACCTGGTATGAGGGGGTGCATTATTAACTGTACACATCCTGATGATGGTGGGAAGGATATTTCTTTGCCCCTACCTCATCATGACAGTCTCAGGGCCACTACCAAATTGTGCACTGCAACAGGACCTTGGCAGGCATACCTTAGATGGTGCGGTGTCCTTGGTCCTAAAAATGATCTTAAGATGCAGTACATGTGCCAGTGTCCTAATTCTTTTGCAGCTGGTGAGACAAAAGGTTGTTTAGTGAAAGTGTTGGATTGAAATTTGTATATATAATCCAGACACCAGTCTACTAGCACACAGGCAGGACTTGCCAGAACTGTGCCTGATTTATTGGTGGTATTGTAGTATCACACTGACATTACAAACACACAAACAAGTAAGAAAATATAGAATATTCAACTGTACAGATTTATACAGTAATGCCCAATATTACATATTGAAATTGCCTTTATATATACCAGTTGATACAATGTACATCAAATTTTACAATGCGCTAGGCCAAGTTGACCCATTGGCTGGACGAGGGCAGAGTCCCGTTCCTAAATTAGGACACGGGCAGGGCAGGCACCTCACACTCCCTTTATATTCTCACATGCTCATACGCACACACACGCAGTCACTTACGCTCATTCGCACAAATGCACATCTTCAGTTGTTTGGTGCACATGGCCACTTTTCCACTTGGTCATGGTAACATACAAAGCAACACCAGCCAGCAATTTGAGCGTTACACTGTCCCTCCCCTAAAAAAAATTATTATCTGTGCTAGGCTCTTAATTTTTGTTTTGCAAGGTCTACATCTACATCCAGTGTCCTAGGGTGCAGATGCTAGTTCAGGGGCCAGGATTAGTCGTCACCTTGTCCAGAACTCAGAAATGGGCTGCCTTCCACTTGCTCTACCTCAATCACTTCAGAAGTACCATGGTTTGGCCTGCCCAGGCAAACATGGCTTCTAAATCCTAACATTATACACCACTACTTATATGAAAGAAAGAGCAATACAACAGTAGGTAACAACATTTACCAATTGGGTAAAAAGTGGCAAACAGGTATATGTCTAAGATTCAAAATTGATATATATGGGAAAAGCTCACTACAGCAAAATCATGCAAATAGCCACAAGCCCACAATAATGAATAACATGCTCTATCAAACTACAAGAGCCTAGCTGAAAAGTTACTATGCATTAAGGGCACACCAAAATAAGTTTGAATTAATGTTAATTTAACTCTTCCTGTTATCAATAATGATCTTTTTTCTCTCTTTTTTTTGCAGAAAATCATACTGTATTCACTGTCACATAAAAATCTTCTCATCTTCAAAGATCAGAAAAGTCAAGGTAGAACCACGATTACCTTGAGACACAAATTTTAAGATATGCTTATCAATAGCAATAACATATTAACTCAATAAAATTAAAGGATTTCTTAATTCCATTCCACATATGAACTAATTTATTCCTATTTTTTTCCAATAAAAAAGGGGAAAAAATATAAATAATAATACCTTGCAATTAAAATTGCTTTTCAGCATCTTATATATCATCTATGAACCTTCTTGTAAGGCCAACCAATCAATTTATTCTGTTAAAAAGAAAAGAAAAAAGAAAAAAGAAGAAAAAAAAAATTAGTCCGTGCAATCAGACCAGACTGATTATGCTTGTGTCTTTTGGATTATACACTTCATGTATAATGGAAAACATCAAAAAAGCTAAATCAAGTGCATCACACCACAAACATCAGTTTCATGATAAAAACTTCGTGCTCAGAAAATTTCTAGAATGAATTCTTCGTTAATTGTTTACATAAAAGAACTTATTTTTTTATTTATATTAGAACCACGATTACCTTGAGACACAAATTTTAAGATATGCTTATCAATAGCAATAACATATTAACTCAATAAAATTAAAGGATTTCTTAATTCCATTCCACATATGAACTAAAAAAAAAAGAAGAAAAAAAAAATTTAGTCCGTGCAATCAGACCAGACTGATTATGCTTGTGTTTCGAAACAAAAACATAGGCCTCTGAATATTGTATTCCATCAATCAATAAGGCTATGAACAATCTTTTGGATTATACACTTCATGTATAATGGAAAACATCAAAAAAGCTAAATCAAGTGCATCACACCACAAACATCAGTTTCATGATAAAAACTTCGTGCTCAGAAAATTTCTAGAATGAATTCTTCGTTTAATTGTTTACATAAAAGAACTTATTTTTTTATTTTATCTTTTTTTTTTTTTGTTTTTTTTTTAAATCTCTCTCTCTCCTCTTTTTTTTCTTTTTCTTATGGCTTTCTCCCTCGATGGAAAAGTGGGATGTGGCAGGTGGTGGTACAACTCCAGCTTAGAGAGGGCTGGTCATGTTGGGCCCCATGGAATCAGGGGCATTCTTCATGAAATACTTTTCTAACTTAGCCAAAATGTGTTTACCTGAAAGGGGATGGAAAAACAACAATAATAATCATGTCAACATAGGTCAGTATCTTAACTATCAGTATTGCTATCTCACCTGCAGCATAAAAAACAGTTAATTATCACCAAACAGTATTATCCAATATAATGATAATCTGTTCCTAGCTAAGTAATTTATCATAAAAAGAAAAACAAGACACTCACCATAAGTATACTTGCGGAGAGTTGAAATGTGTGGGCGGATCTTGTGCATGAGCATTTTTCGCTGAGCAGGTTCAGCCACATCTATCATTTTCTGCACCACATAGTTAGCATACTGATCCTTCATTAACATCAGCAGAGAGCTGTGTGCATTGTCGTTATATCCACACACCTGGAAATGGAAGAGCAAATTTGTTTAATTATTGGATTCATTCTGTACTGATAGCCAGGAATCCTTTTAAAGGTTTTATTCTGCATTCAAATTAAATGCCAGAACATAAATATACCACAAGTATATTTCCTCAGTAATTCCTGCCATGCTATCTTTTCAAAAACTTGGCAATATATCCATTAAATAAATATAGCATGAAAATAAATCTCACAAATTCATGAAGGGGTTATATAGCAGTAAAAAACAAAAGAAAACGATGTCAATGTACAATCGATGATAGTTATACCTCAATCATATTTACCTCTTCAATGAGCATGGCCCTCTCGGCACGGGTAGCATGCGTCACACACTTCTCTACTACGTTTGAGGCAAATTTATGCTGAGAGAGCTTTAGAACCCCACCACGCACCACGCCAACGATCTTGCTCTTATCTTCTGGTTTTCCATGTTCTGGGGGAGAGGAAACATTTTATCTAGATGTATGTTCTAGATGTATTTTGACCAGAAAAATACATAATGTTGTTATGACTGAAAAAACACAAATTGTTAAAAAGTTGTGTAATGGTCTATAATGTACAAAAGTGAAATCTTACCAAGCACATGTTGGATGACGTAATTGCCATACTGATCCTGTAGCAGCTGTTCGGTATGTTGGTGTAGCTCCTCAAGCACTGGGGACGTTTGGTCTCCAGTGCAGTGCTCCAAGATACGCTGAATAACACGGCAACCATAGGGGTGTGTGGAGAGGGTGAAAACTTGCCCCTGTAAAAAAGGAGTGCAAACTGAGTGGTCTTTCTCCTTGTTACATTGAAGTTTTGTATCTGAGACACTCAGATATACTTTATCATTACATAATAATAATGGAAAAAAATATTAATTCTTATTACAGTACGGAACTACAGTTTACCTGGAAAGCATTGATGATAAACTGTAAGGCCATTGGATCCACACACTCAATGCATTTTTGCACAACATGGTTGCCTGTGAATTGAAGAACAAAGATTAACATAAGCAATAGCTTCATTCCCAGCCAGCATTTATCATAATGTATGAAATATACTGCATGGAACTGCAGTTCTTAAAGTCTCGACTTACCATTCTGATCCTTAACACATTTAAGGACATGGCCATCCAGTTCACGCACGATGTCTTTCTGCTGGTCCTGAGTAATGCACTCAAGAGCCTTTTGAATCACACGACATCCATACATCTGTAGTGCTAAAGGCAAAACGTGGCCACGAATCTTGTTTGCCAAGACAGTCTTCTGCTCGGGGGTTCCAAATTCAAAGAACTTCTGAATCACGTAATTACCTGAGAACAAAATTTAATTAAATTATGATTATATATTCCTGAAGAAATAATTAGGTATTCTCATATAAAATTTATTAACATGAATGTAAATATTCTCTTGTGCAAATGCTGCACATACATTGCTATCATTTTTGTATTGTATCTGACAACATAGACAAGAAAAAAGTACTTTTTAGAATACATACCAAACACATCAGTCATTAGAGAATAAGCTGCTGTTAGGATTTCGTTGAATACCATCTGCTTCTCAGCTGGTGTTGCTCGTTCAAGCTTTTGTTGAATGAACCTGCCACAAAGAAATATGGATAAATAACAATGCAGAAATGATGTACATGTACTAAGAGGTAATCAAATTATCAAGATAACTTTTGTATTTCGCAAGAAACAATCTATGAACTCTGAAATAAGCATACCTGGACCCATGCTGGTCTTGGCTGAATTCCACTATGTGGTTGGCCAAGTCTCTGAGCTGCAGGTTGGGGAATCGATTGTTTCGGAAGTCCTCCAGTAAGCGTGAACGACCAGTACATTTTTCCAAGCTCAGGTTTCGTTTTATGGGTGGGAATAAGGATGAGGATCCGCCAGAAGTGAACATTCCATTTGTGGAACCATTTCGGAACTTTGCTTCTGCTCCTGGTGCAGCAGAGATGACGCGATTACCAGACATTAGGGCACCCAGTGGCAGTGCCGAGGAGGTGTTACTGAGGCTTGGGGGTGGTGTCAGGCTACCAGAGGTTAGACCAATAGGCCCAGGGGATGCAGTAACTGTACCAAGTGCTCCATAGTTGCTAGTCCATTTGCCACTTCGGAAATCTTGAGAAAGTGGTGACAGAACTGAAGTGGTACGGTCTAAAGAATCACGTCGCCCCATGCTCCCTCCAAGACCTGAAAGGAGTTGGTAATCTTTGTCATATGATCTTCCCTTAGACCTTAGTGGAGAATGTTATGAAATGCTACTCATAGTTCAGTTAAATTTAGGGGATGCACCTTTTCAACTGAAGACGCTCCATACACTCTTTATTATTAAATGATATTCCAGCTCACAAAATTCAGTTATAAAGTTGTTAATGGATGGGACTTACCACCACCTAAATTGCCAATAGCAGGGGATCCAATGGTGCCCAGGGTGCTATTGCCAAAACCTAGACTACTAGTTTGCAGACCCAACGAGTAGTTGTTGCCTGTTAGTGCATTGGAAGTCTGCAGGCCTTGCGAGAGGGAATCTGCAACAATGAGAAACGAACCACACACTATAATAATCTATGTTGTACTGTTGCATGACAGGATGCACTTATTACACAAGATCAACGTCGTACTGTGACTTTGTGATTAATAAATATTATTAATGAAGGCTAATAAACAACATGCAAGATCTGACTAAGATGGTGCCATCACTCACACCTGTAAATCACAGCACATCCTTGATACAAGTCTGAATAGTTTGTGTATGTCCATTTCTTTTCCCTTAGCCAGGGACGGTGTAGCAGTGTTATTAGTATCACACTTAGGTTCTGATGTATTCATCATGCAAAATCATTTAAACTGGCCAGTTCATATGGAGAAAGTTTTATATGTAAATAATGGTTTCTTTATGACTTGTCTTATGCTACTACTACTTATCCATGAGCAACTAGCCAGTGAATTGGTTATTGGGGTCTTGGGATGTTAGCTTTCACAACATACAGTATTCATATTGGTTACACTCAACATGCGTACCAGCAAGTGTGTTCCCAGTGAAGGTCTGGGTGTTGTTTAGGCTCGGAGTCTGGCTGTTGTTGTAGATGGAGGCTGGTGGAGTTCCTATCTGGGGTGCCTGCAACACATGAAGATCATTAAGAACTGTTACTATCTATATTATCATGTGACTAAATTTTGCCAATCCCTCTTTTAAAAAAGGTCAGCTTTCTCATATTCATCTACTGGCCAATCATTATTCATGACCGGTAGACCAGACATCACACATGAATGTAAATAGAGGAAAGGGATTAAGGTAGTACCTGGTTTCCTAGTAGCCTCATGTTGTTGGCAGCAGCAGCCTGGGCTCCATTGGCACCATTGATGATGACTGGTGCAGGGGAGACAAGTCGAACTGGGGCACCATTACCTACTCCTCGGAGGTTGCCCATCAAAACCGCCCCATTCTGATCATAATAGGCTGGGATTACCTGCTGTAGTAGAAGAAACACGGCAAACTTTAGTATATACAGATCAAGAAGAAATTTATTTGCATGCATCATTGTATATCTCTCTCTCTCAAATACACAAACACACACAATGTATAAATGTATGTAAACAGTTATTGCATGTGTATAAAAATTCAATACACAAGCAAATAAGTATTACATACAAACATTTAGTACATATCAGAGCACACTGAATACATAAACATATTACATCCATAAACATAGTGAATATATCACACATACACAATGATAAATTACGTAATACATACCTGATATTGTGAAAGTGGTCCCTGTATGTTGCCTGCTGCAGCTGCAGCTGCTGCCAAGTTACCATTGCTCTGATTGGTAACTTCACTGGTTTGAGATGGAGAGATTGGTCTCCTGGGCTGACCACCCGGTCCCTGCTGTTGGATGATATTTGCTGGATACACGCCCCAGTGCACCCCATAATACTGAGGAATCACTGCTGTCGGACCTATCACAACACAATGTAATGATTCAGATGTAGTAACTTATCAGTCCTACAAAGTCTAACACAACAGCCAATCACATATAAACTATGCACTATTGCAGTAATAAAATACCCACAGTGAAATACTTTTTGTTATGTTACAGATTTCCTGCAAGCATTAATATTAAAACACTAGTCCATGCAAGATAAACGGGGTAAAATAGATGTAAAAGCCAAGCATGCCAGGTGAGAAGCTTTAGTAATGATGGGATGTAAGAAAATCTACTGTAAACTTTCAGTACAATACCAAAAGAACAAAAATACATTGACAAATAAAACTATCAAGACTAAAGAAGAGAGCATACACCTCTATGGAAATGCTATTTACCAGAAACCTTACTGAATTAAAAAGAATTTGAAAAAAATAGAAGAAGAAATTTCAAATCTAAAAGTATCTAAAGATAACAGTAGTGAAGAGCAACAGAGGATGAAATTCCAGGTCTGACTGGCAGGAAAAGGTGGGCTAATCACCAGTTTGTAGCAAGTAGCAAGAGAAGAACAAAGTCTCATTAACCAAAGTTAAAACTAAACAAGGTTCAAAAGAAGAGCAGAAAAGTACTTACCAGTTATTAGGGTCCCCACGTATGGCTCCTGGGCATTGATCACATACGGTGCACTAAATGCTGCTGGTGCTGCCAAGCCTGTAGACAGGGGCATTGTTAGTGTATACTTTTATTTGAAAAGAAGCTTCAAAATGTCTGAAAATAAGCTTTAATGATGAAAATTGACAAGCACATATGCAGATCAACTCATGATAGGAGTGATGACTGACTGATACAATGTAATAATAAATACAATAAATATTAGCAATCCTTCCAAGTCTCAATGGCCTCTGTAAAAGGAGGCTCAAAACAGCTAACCAATCCATTAGCTGGTTTGCAGAGGAAAGAAACTTTATGCATTTTCAAGATCAACACTGACAACTACAGCAGATGTTAGTAATATATGGCAACAGTGTCTACTACTATATGACTGAATAACCAGAATGGAAATGTTAAGTGTAATTGAATCTTACACCTTAATATGAATAAATTATGAGAATAATAATCATATGAAAAACAACGGCAATATGCTACATTGTCTCTCTTCCTTATCATTCAGATAATACAAAAAAACATAATAGGTTCTTATCAGTTACTATTCTTGTTTCTCCATTCACACATCATTACTACAAGTAAAAGTATTTGTTTACAACGAAGTATCAAGTAATATTATAAAAAAATAACTTTGAAGACCTCATGAGATCAGCACTAAATCTCAGAACCCAACTCCTTTCTTTAGCCATACCTTACAAAGAAAGAAAGAAAAGGAAAGCGAAAAAGAAAGAAAGAAACACACACACACACACACAAATACTGTAGCAAGGGTATATCATAATTTTAGTTTATCTGATAATTTGACCAAGTTCCTCCTCCCCTACTACATCCAAAATAAAAAAATATATAATTCTTGCCAGGGCAAATTATCTATAATTTTCACCCTCAGAAAAAGATAAGAAAATACAAAAAGGAGGGGTGAGGAATGGAGATGATGGACAAGTAGATAATACATATTGTATAAAAGCAAGGGAAAGTGAGAGAGAGGAAGAGCAAGAGGTTAAAGTGTGTGTGTACACATATACATGTATAGAGAGAGACACACACACACACACACACACACACACACACACACACACACACACACACACACACACACATGTACACATATACACACATGCATACATATATATACACACATATACACACATGCATACATATATATACACACATATACACACATGCATACATATATATACACACACATACACACATGCATACATATATATACACACATGCATACATATATATACACACATATACACACATGCATACATATATATACACACATGCATACATATATATACACACATATACACACATGCATACATATATATACATATATACACACATGCATACATATATATACACACATATACACACATGCATACATATATATACACACATATACACACATGCATACATATATATACACACATATACACACATGCATACATATATATACATATATACACACATGCATACATATATATACATATATACACACATGCATACATATATATACATATATACACACATGCATACATATATATACATATATACATACATATACATATATACACATATACATATAAATACATATATATACATATAAATACATATATATACATATAAATACATATATATACATATATATACATATAAATACATATATATACATATAAATACATATATATACATATAAATACATATATATACATATAAATACATATATATACATATAAATACATATATATACATATAAATACATATATATACATATAAATACATATATATACATACATATAAATACATACATATATATACATATAAATACATACATATAAATACATATATATACATATACATACATATAAATACATATATAAACATATACATACATATAAATACATATATAAACATATACATACATATAAATACATATATAAACATATACATACATATAAATACATATATAAACATATACATACACATGTATATACATATAAATATGTACATATATATATGTATATATAATACAATATATGTATAATATATATGTATGTTTAATATGGTTATTAGGGGGGGAAGGGAGGGGGAGGGAGGGGAGGGAGGGAGAGAGGGAGAGAGGGAGAGAGGGAGAGAGGGAGAGAGAGAGAGAGGGAGAGAGAGAGAGAGAGAGAGAGAGAGAGAGAGAGAGAGAGAGAGAGAGAGAGAGAGAGAGAGATGTTGAAGAGAGTAAAAGAGAATCTTTAATAATCTCATCGATCACAGGCACTATATTCCATTTAATGCCAGAAATCCTTCATCCACCTGATAAGAAAAAACAACAAAGAAGAAGAAGAAGAAAGAGAGGACTAACCTCTGGCACCTTCAACTAAGAACCAGTTTCAAGATTCTCTCACATAACTATCCTGGTTAACGTTTGCTCCGAGTCATAGGTTTCTTTTTTTCATACGAGTCAGAGGTAATTAGCCTAATGGAACATATGAGACAGAGTAAAATAAACCTGTGTCAGCAGATGGCTCCCTGAATTTTATACAATAAATCTCCCAAAACCGGCATGATGGTATGGGAAAAGAAAAGAAAAGAAAAAAAAAAAAAAAAAAAAGGAGAAACCATTTCCATGAAGACACTCCCTACTTAACAGCAACACAAGTATTTGTTTACATCACACACACAACAAAAGTCCCAAAAATGTAATATTGTATGTATGACAACCTCTGCAGAAAACTACGATGGTGGGGGTTTTAACCCTCAAAGAATGTCAGAACAAAAAGAGAGAATATATGAGGCCGCGTCATTGTACAACAGGTGACTGAATGAACGCAGACCAAGTGTGTAAACACCACCTTAGCAGAGGGCTGAGGATGATGTTGACAACTGTCCTACTCATTCATTAATATTGTTGCAAGTTGTGCTAGCTAGCTAGGCTAGAATTAAATTTTGCAGGATAATCTAAGCATTTTTGGAAGCCAAGCACTTTTCAGAATCCTTGAAACAATTAACAAGCTTCAAGAAAGTAAATATCAGCATGAATAAGAATTAGCTTAAAATTTGGAAGGGATTGTAGTCATAAATTTGTGCATGGGTTTGTTCCTTGCCTGATCTCTGACATCAATTAAAGATGGGACTGGATTAAACTCAGTCCTGTCATTCTTTAGTGCCAATCAATACAAATATTTCTAAAAGATACATAATCTGCTGTTCAGTATAATCATAACTTACTTTTAGAGTATGTTGGAAAAACATACTACTAAACCAGTGAACATCACCTTATATTTGTAGTGAACATTCAGCCAACTTTGCTCATGAAAGGAAGTCGATTGCCCAACTAGTAGAGCAATGAGTAACACTGGTTAATTTGTTCTAGCATAAAGCTTATTGTATTCCTTATTTTGGCACTACTGTTAATATGGTTGAAAATTCATGTCACTGAATGGAAGTCTTCATCGATATCAGATGTACATGATATTTTTAGATTATAATGTCTTGGAGACACTGATAGATTGAGTGGTAACCTAAGAAGGTTGAAGGTTCAGGAGAAATGTTGCTTAACAGGTTGCACTGAACTGCCCTCCATGCGAACTGCATGTTTAGGACAAAATAACTGGCCACTCCTCATAATGAAAGGTCAAGCAAGCAGTGAATCAACCAAGACATCACAGTGCCTTATGGCACAAGAGCTGCATTCCACTGATATAAACGAGTAAATTAAATATGAAAACAGTTTAAGTATTAATAAACAAACAAAATATAATTCACACAGCTAAACTCATTATATTGTGATAATACTCGGGTATGCTAGAATATACAAACAGGAAAATAGCAGCTCTGCAATAAATTACCTTCCCATAAACTATTACTAACTTCATTGCGAACTCCTCAGAACTGTTATTATCCTTTGTGCAAAAGACATCAAAGTCATCAATCTAATAAACGGTCTTTATCATTTGGTCGAAAAGACTTTATTATCCTTTTAGCCAAGCTGGGTTAATGAAATATTTCTTAGTCTTTCGAGAAAATCACCTGCCCCCCCAACAGAGAGAGAGAGAGAAAGAGAAAGAGAAAGAGAAAGCGAGAGAGAGAGAGAGAGAGAGAGAGAGAGAGAGAGAGAGAGAGAGAGAGAGAGAGAGAGAGAGAGAGAGAGAGAGGAGAGAGAGAGGAGAGAGGGAGGAGAGAGGGAGGAGAGAGGGAGGAGAGAGGGAGGAGAGAGGGAGGGAGGGAGGGAGGAGAGAGGGAGGGAGGGAGGGAGGAGAGAGGGAGGGAGGGAGAGAGGGAGGGAGGGAGGGAGGAGAGAGGGAGGGAGGAGAGAGGGAGGGAGGGAGGGAGGAGAGAGGGAGGGAGGGAGGGAGGAGAGAGGGAGGGAGGGAGGGAGGAGAGAGGGAGGGAGGGAGGGAGGAGAGAGGGAGGGAGGGAGGGAGGAGAGAGGGAGGGAGGGAGGAGAGAGGGAGGGAGGGAGGGAGGAGAGAGGGAGGGAGGGAGGAGAGAGGGAGAGAGGGAGGGAGGGAGGAGAGAGGGAGGGAGGAGAGAGGGAGAGAGGGAGGGAGGGAGGAGAGAGGGAGGGAGGAGAGAGGGAGAGAGGGAGGGAGGGAGGAGAGAGGGAGAGAGGGAGGGAGGGAGGAGAGAGGGAGGGAGGAGAGAGGGAGGGAGGAGAGAGGGAGGGAGGAGGGAGGGAGGGAGGGAGAGAGAGAGAGAGGTCACGTGACGGCTACCCAGTTGTCAGGTTGACTTGGTAGTACCAGCAACCCGGGAGCGACTGAGGGCGCTTCGTGCAATAAGGTGGATCCAGCACATAGTCGCGGCTTTGTGCGAGTGTTGCGTCACGTGTAGCGGCATTGCCAGGACCCGCCGTCATGGCGCTTACCATCACAGCCTCGACCCAAGCTGCTTCCTTCCCGCTCGGCCCTGTGCGTGGCCCTCCGCTCCCTCGCCGTCCGCAACATCCACTCACCTAACCCAGCTGTCATACTCCGAGTTTTAGCTAATTGTTTAATACAAGAGCGCGGCATGTTATTCCCTCGTGATCCCGGATAAATGGCTGACCCAGAGAAATTACAAGATTATCCGGCCAATTCATCGACGAGCGGCCGGGCAGCCAGATAAAATATTCCCGGTGACTATCCTCTACCTACACAATTACGACCCGATCATGCCTGCCTCCATTATCGCTTGTATTTGCATTCCAAATCGAAAGCTATAGGGTGTAAAAAGGGAAGAGAGGGGGAGAAAAAGAGGCGGGTGTACAATTTAACGGCAAATGCATGCGGTCACACGTATCACGACGTTAAGTACTTTATGGTATAATTTTTCCGGTTACTGTCAGCCCAATTGAGTTTACTTCCCCCTCCCAGCCTGTGTTAGCCCGTAGCCCCCCGTAGTCCCACTGTCACTCCTACCGCCCATTACGTTAATGCGGTGCATTAGGCAGCGTGAAACGGCGGCAGTGTCGTTTTCTCTCCCTCCTCCGTAACAATGACTCCCTATCATTCACAGGCTGCTAGAAGAATTCGTGATGAAAGGAGGGGAGGGGCAGGGTCCTAGGCTCGAGTGTGACAGGTCAGTATAGGAAGTCCTCGCAGGGCGGGCCGGGCCGGGCCAGGTGAGTGGCGATGACACAGCGGAGCGCTTGGCTGAGCACCGATGGACAGGCGGATCGCAACACAGGCAGGAAGTGGGATCCACCGCCCTCCTATCACACGCACTTCCTATAGCCATATATACACGCCCGGCGATGTACACATGAAGGACGCTTCACGCATTGCTGTTTAATCGCCAGCATCAGAATGGAATCCATCAATTATCTTTAAGTTGGGGACGGGGTTAAATGTTCGCCAGGACAAGTTCCTGGTGAACATTTGGAACCGAGGCGCTGAATAAGACCTCTGAGAAACCATTCATAGCTTCCTCGACACCACGAGGTTTTACAGCAAGTATTCACATTCGTCTCCGAGCGATGCAAGCAAACAGAGTCAAATGGATGCGACCAATATAAATATGCGTGTACTTACCCTGCTGTTGAGCAGCCTGTGCAGCCAAATACTGCTGCTGAGCGAGCAACTGTATCGGCTGGTGGTTGGGCCCTCCCTGCTGCTGCTGAGCGCTCCGGAACAGTTGCTGCAAGAGAGGAAATGCTACTTAGTCATATATTCAAACATACAAAGTACAACCTATTAATATAAAAAATAAACGACGAAAAAAGTGTTCGTAGCAATATTTACCTTTTTCAGCTTAGCTCCATCATAATCTATGAGAGACTTTGTAATGTCCAAGTGGAAGCTGTACCTTTTTTCCTTCAGCTTCATGATGGTTTGAGGCAAGGTGCAAGTCTCTATACTTTATTAATGCACTTGCTCGCTGCCTGTGACACCATGTTTTAACACGAGCAATGTTTCACTAACACAATCACTTTCTATTTCACACTTCGCCTTTGCAACACTGACAATCTACACTGCAACATCTCGAGTTCACTTTTTGACCTCTAGCTTAACTGACACATGCTAAAGAGTCAGCGACACGTGTCCCGCTTTTCAAACCAGGACAACTAGCAAAAACAACTGCCTTTTGAAGGGGGGGGAAAACATCATTAATCACACAGTCCTGGGATATACACCGAAAAAAAAATATATGTCAAGGCCGAGTTATTTGTTATGTCCAAAATAAAACCAGGTTGGAAGAGGGAGGCCAGCGTTGGAGGGCAGGGGGGATCCCTGAGGGGGAGATGAGGGAGGGAGGGAGGGAGGGAGGGAGGGAGGAAGCAAGGGAGGAAGAGCAGGGAAACACCAGTGGGCTGTGTTGTCCAGGCTGCTCACGTCCACGCCAACCCTCCTCCCGCGAGACCGCTCATCCGCCGCTCACGTTCTGACACCCACCGCACCAACTCACCTTCCCCTCCGCCATTCCCTCCCTCTGCCGCGCCACCCTGGTACTTAAACTACACACTTGGGCCCTCCCCTCACATTCCTTCCACTCTGCATCACTTTTGAAACACTCAACTGCACACTATCTCAGCCACTCACTCTCTTTCAACACCATACAAAACGGGGAAAAAATCTCCTGTGACTAAATGCAATTTCCCTGCCTAGGTAAAAAAAGGAGCCAAAACAAGAGAAGACATTGCAACACATCAGAAATCTGAGGCAGAATCAAAATAAATGGTTCCAGAAAGCAAGTAAACGCGGCGCTTTGCGAGGGAGAAGGCGTGAGGATAGTGAGGGCGGGGGAGAAGAGGGAAGGTGGTGTAGGATGAGGATGAGGAGGCTGATCTAGTTCTTCCCTTCCTCTATCCCTCCTCCACCCCCTCTCTCCCTAAAGAAGGCGAGGAGAAAGCAAGATGGAAGGAGGGAGAGGGCGCTCCGGCATCAGGAGGGAGAAGGGAGGCGAGCGGCACACGGGAGGGAGGTCAAGCGGCCACGGGATGCAGCAGGCAGGGAGGCAGGGAGGGAGACAGGGAGGGAGGGAGGCACACAAGCAAGGTGCAGGGAACGAGCGCGCGCGGGTGAAAGTTCCACGCCGGTTTGGTTCTGTTAAAAGCGCTCATCTACATGGATATACATGGTAAATTATGCCACAAATCGCATTCCTGGACGCTCGGCCGCCAAAGGACGCCGGGGAAGCCTCTGCCACGGGATCCGGGGCCAGCCAGAGCTGCTCACAACACCCCGGACTCTAAATAAACGCCATTAACGGGGGACATTAAACCGAGTTTACCTAAACCCTTTCTTTTCTCGCCAGGGGGAGGCAGGGGATGGGAAGGAGGGTGGTGCAGCGTGGGCGAGGTGGGGACTCAGAGGGTAGGGAGGAGGGGGTATTTAAACACACGCTCGTGGCACCTGTTCTTACCGCCTCGTTTGCACGATACACCGCTCATTACGTTCCCCGGTTTTCCTCGCACGCCGTGGGTACGACCGGATCCAAGCGCTAGATCATGGCAGAGAAAGCGGCTGAGTGGAGGCGCAGGGTGGGTAGGCAAGCAAGGGGAAGAGAAAGGGGCGGCATCCCCACCCTTTCCCTCCCCCCGCCAAAGAGAACCAGTTTCTGGCCAGCGTCTTCCGCTTGCCCGCGACCAATCGCGAACCACTGTCTAATTAACATTACCACGCGAGAACCCGGTAGCGCGGCCATCCATCTTTCGCCAGATAACAGCGCGCTGCGCCCTCTCCCCCGGCCATTACTCGATTAGCGGCAGCGAGGTCCCCGAAGCACTTGCGTCGGAATCCAAAGCCACTATTTTTTCACCCCGGTATCATAACCCAGTTTTTTTCCGGCCAAAATATCTGATTACGAGAGTGAAGATGAATTAGGATAATGTATTCGCCAGGAAGGCGCCATAAATAAACTCGCTCGCGATTCTATGCACAACGAACTGTAAATAATAAATGACGGAAGCGAAAATGTGAGCTCGAATGTAACTGAAATCTATTTAACAATATAAACTACTAATTGCAAAATATTGAAATATGATAACGATAAAATGCATCGATAAAATACTACGAGAAAGGTCAATGCAATTTATGATAATACACGATTTGTGCTGAATATGTAACACCAGTCGCATCCAGAAAGACGCGGGAGCAGACTACGCAAGCACATACAGACAGAGAGACGATAGAGGGGAGAACGGACAAAGGGAAGTAAAGAGGAGGATTGGAAAGGAGGAAGAGAACAGACAAACAGAGAAAACGGCAGAATGAAAGAAGATACCAGCCCACGAGAAAAAGACCAAGAGAATACGTGCATGGCCCAGGTTCACCATAAGGGCCAGGGTCACACAGGACATGGAGTGGCCAGGAGACATCGCAACGCAGCCAGCACAACGTGAAAGCGGCCAGGCAGAGGTGAAGGGAGGGGGGGGGGGGGGTGGCGGTAGGTCGGTCGGGCGCCAGGAACGAATAAAGGGCACAGCGCATTATGTAAGGGGCAAGCGCTAGAGCTCCTTGTGCCGGAGATCACCGGACACGAGGGAGAAAAGGGACGGACAGCAACCGCGCAGCCAAACGGCGAACCCATAAAATAGCACAAAAGCCAGGAATAGCGAAACATTTAAATTAATCCACTTTTTCAAGTCCGTTTTGTGGGGATGCCACACTAATAAGACCCGTGATAATATACGATTCCGCGGGAAAATAAAAATAAAATAAAACTACCATCATAATTTCACAAACTGCAAGACGTCAGGACCATGTACAGGCCCGATCTCGCACCTTGAAGCATTTTTGACTGCAAAACCAGGCTTAAATTCGTACCGAAATAAATTAAAATGCAAACACACACATTATATATATGCATGTGTATACATACACATATATACACATACATATGTATACATATTTGTATACACATGTATATATGTATGTGAATACATATACATATATACAAATGTATATATACCCACCCACACACATATATATCTACGTATATACATACATACATACACACAGATATATATATATATATATATATATATATATATATATATATATATATATATATATATATATATATATACATACATATATATATATTATACACACATACGTTCAGGTAAAATGAGGAAACGTAAGTCAGGTTATATAAGGAGAAAAGTTGCAAGCTGGAACGTGGCACGGGTGGGAAAGTGGATGAAACGACCTGGCCCTCTGCAACATAGTACACATCCCATCGAAAATCAACACAGACTCAAGACTCATTTTGCACACACTCAACCGAGATGACGTCCAAATTCCCTTATTCAGTCGTCAATTGAATGCATGAATGGCAACGTCGGGAGGAGAGGGCAGAAGATAAAAAAAAAAAATAAAAAAAAAAATAAAAAAATAAAAGGAAACTGCAAAGACCAGGATGTTGTAGGGAATAGAAAAAGACGTTGGTCGGCGGTTAGCGGTGTTAACTCAATCAAGATGGACAATCATGATCAATAGCGGGCAGCAGCTAGGATACTTGGCTCCCATCTGCAGCACAAGGAACAGGGAGCAGAGTTCTCTCACTCTTACACACACATACACAAATGTAAGGAGGGAAGAAGGGAAATGGGAAGAAGAAGAAGAAGAAGAAGAAGAAGGAGAGCGAGAGAGAGAGAGAGAGAGAGAGAGAGAGAGAGAGAGAGAGAGAGAGAGAGAGAGAGAGAGAGAGAGAGAGAGAGAGAGGGAGGGCGGGGGGAGGGGGGAGGGGGGGGGGAGGATACCGAACAGGGAGAGGTCCTTTTGGGCGTGACGGCCGTGAAAGGTAGCATTGTTAACACGGCAAGGATCCCGCGATGCACCGACACAAGGTTATCCTCCAACTCGAGCTAATGTTAGCTGTAGGTCTCTCAACCTGAGGTAATGTTCCCCAGAGCAAGAGGTCCAATGGGAGCTGAATATGAGGATAATGGGTAAGATACGCCCTGGACTCCGGTAATGGGAGAACGGGGACGCTAAACTCGGGGTAATGGCTCACGGGGGCTGAACCCGAGTGGGGCACGAGGAGTTATGGCGCGGGGGGGGGGGGGGGGGGGGGATAATCCCCCTCGGGTGGCATCCGGCATCCTCTGATAGCCGCCCTCCAAGGAGAAGTCGGAGGCAACCACACAGGGGATACGGAGGTGTGAACTGCGAGGGATCACGCAGCTGAGGAAGAGGCGCGTCTGGCATCCCGCTCGCGATCCCGAGAGCCGCATGGGACCGCACCAAATGTCTCTGAGGGAGGGGAGGGGGAGGGGGAAGGGGGGAGGGGAAAGAGAGGCGTTCTATTCAACACAATTTAAGAAAGCGTGTAAACAGGACAAGCAGCCGATACACAAATTTAAAAGCGTTTCAAGCCCAAGGGTGTTCCGGGGCCGAGACGAGATGAAAACCGGACGAGCAGCAAAACGAAGAGAGAGTAAGGGAGAAAAGGCAATGAGAGACTGACAGACGGGTGGCCGAGCATCCCAGAGTTCATCAGCGCAAGTGTCGGAACAATCCAGGAGGGTATTACCCATGACACCACCAAGATGAGGCGTAATATCGTGTCATGGTGTACCTTGAATGAACAATACGGAAGAGAGTGAGGAGGAGGTGGAGCAGGAAAGGGGGAGGGGGAGGTAAGAATGACTTGTTATGGAAAAAATGAATGGAACAAAACCAGGAGAAATGCTG